ACTTTCCCCACCTCTGGGCTTTCTTTCTTTTCAGTTCTAGTGAGATCTACATATAAGACGTGTTGGCGCTGCTCTGAGCCACTCAGAGAGCCAGGGCTGTGGGCCGCATTTGGGACGACGGTCTAAAGATGGGGAGAGGTGAGGGTGGGGCGCCCAGTTCTGGAACTCGGGGAACGACTAACTGGTAAAGGACCTGAGGAAGGGTCCGTAGCTGTTCCTGGCCCGGGCACCTGACTTTACCCGGCGACGGGGAGGTCTGGGAAAGAGGGGATGCTCGGCTGGGCCGCGCCAGGGGGATGGGATGGGGAGCGGCCAGGGACCCGGAGTCAGACCCTCGGGGCAAGGACAAGGCGGCAGGGAAGGGAAGGAGACGGGCGAGGAGCTCCTGGCTGCAGGGTCCGAGGGAGCGCGGCCATCCAGAGCCTTGCCGTCGCGGATTGAGGTTCAGGCAAGTCCTGAGTCTGAGAGGTGGGCTCGGGGTCCAGGTGGGGACCCGCCCTCGAGTCCCCGGGCCGGGGTGCGCGGCGCCCGCAGCAACAGGTACCCTGGCGCTGGGCTTTGTCCTGAGGATCAGGGGCCTCTCCAGGGACTGCGTGGGGGTGGGCGGGGGAGGCGCGCGCTCCGACATTTGGAGCCCCTCGGAGCGGCCTGGGTGTGTTGGGCGGAGGGGGGATTCCGGGTGGAGGATCCAGGATGGAGAGCCTGGGGTGAGCCACACCTCCGATTGTGTAACCGCCTGTATCTTTCTGGGCTTGACCCTCTGCCCTTCGCGTTTTGTCTAATTGAGACGATGAAAAACTGACGGAAACTCGATGCCAAAGTGGACTGTTCGCGTTGATTGGCAGGGAAAGTGCGAACAAAGAGGCGCATCTCCCGGAAACAATGATTTTGGAGATTCCCCCGCAGACGTGAGCGGGTTGGGGAGGAGATGGCAGGGAGGGAGGGGACCCGGGCCGGCATCTCCGGGGAAAGTTGGAGCGAGGTGGTGGGCAGGGCTGGGTCGGGTCGAGTGGCGTGGAGCTGGGGACGGAGCGGCCCCGGCGCCTCGGAGGT